GATTCTTTTAAGTATACATCCGTGAAAAGGCCTAGCTTAAGGTGCAAAGGGACAAGTTTGTCCACCTTAAAACATAGGAATTCAAAGATCTATTGAGGGATAACCGCAACAAAGCTAGCTTAAGGTGCAAAGGGACAAACCTCGCGCACCATTAGGCATGAAATTCAATTACGTACGCATTTGGAGGCTTTTACTTATATACTTGAAGTCTTACCTTCATACTTAAAGTATTTGAATACTTCAACCTGTATACTTATAGAATTTGGATACTTCAAATAATAAACTCGAAGAATATAAAGACTCCAATTTGCATACTTGATCTAATTTAAAGACTTCCACCGTACTAATAAGAGATTCAAATTTTATAAGGGTTTGCCCCTTCCATAGACCCATCAATACTTCGTGCAAGTCTTAAGTTTAATGAGACAAAAGATAAAAATAAAATATATATCGTTTTTCCTTTCATGCAATAGATCAAGTGGGAACATTTTTTTTGACACTCATGCAACTGAACTTAGAATATGGTTCTAAGCGCCTACGTACCTCAATAAAGAGGATCAAGTCATAACGTAGTTCTGGGGATTTGAGTGATTATTCTTTTTTTTGTGGTTGTGCCGTACACAGTTTATACTCTTGCGGGCCAGGAGTGACATGCAGTTTAGGCTCGTACCTTAAGGAGCATCGTCTTCCTTCAAGGATAGTATCTCTTTAGAAATTTGGCATTAATAGGACCGATCCTTAAGCCATCAACATCAACAAGCTTGTAAGCACCATTTGAATATGCTTCTTGTACGACATATGGTCCATCCCACTTTGAGGTAAATTTGCCCCCAGACTTGTGCGAAGTAATGATTGGTCTTCTTACTGCGAGAACTTGATCTCCAACTTGAAAGCACCTTAAGCGAACCTTCTTATTAAAAGCACGAGATAGACGAGCTTGATAACATTCAAGGTTTTGTTGGGCTTCTAACCTCTTTTCATCAAGTGCTTCTAACTCTGAAAGACGCAGTCAAGCATTTTCTTCCTCAGAGAGCCCTTCTTGAATAGCAAGTCTTAAGGAGGGTATTTGACGCTCGAGTGGCAGGACTGCTTCAACTCCAAAAGAAAGTGAATATGGTGTTGCTTGAGTTGGTGTGCGATATGTTGTCCTATATGCCCACAAAGCTTCTTCCATTCTTTCATGCCAATCCCGTTTGGATTTGGAGACAACTTTCTTGAGTAGGTTGCATAGAGTTTTATTGAATGCTTCAGCAAGACCATTTGCGGCAGCATGGTACATAGAAGATTTACGTTGCTTAAAGTCGAAAAGATCACAAATCTTGTTCATTAACTTGTTATCAAATGGTTTGCCATTGTCTGTTATTATATAGCGAGGGATGCCGAAGCGATAGATAATATTTACTCGGATAAAATTTGCAACATTCTCTTTCTTCACCTCTTTAAGAGCGACAACTTCAGCCCATTTTGAAAAGTAATCAGTTACAGCCAAGATGTACAAGTGTCCACCAGAAGACTTTGGTAATGGTCCTACAATATCCAGTCCCCAAGCGTCAAATGGCCAAGATGTGATGGTTGGGTGCAATACTTCTGGTGGCTGATGAATAAAATTCACATGAAATTAACAAGCATCGCATTTCCTGGCATAATATAAGCAATCTTTCACCATGGTTGGCCAGTAATACCCCATCCTCTTTATGTGAATATAAAGTTTTGGTCCAGATTGATGTGATCCACATACTCCTGAGTGTGCTTCTTGCAGGGCTTGAATTGTTTCTTCCTCTCCCGAACATCGTAATAACATACCCTCAAATGATCTTCTATATAATGTATCCTTGTAGTAAAGGAATCGAGGTGCACGACGACGTATGTCAGTTCTTCTTCTTGGATTTTCTGGAAGTATCCCATAACATAGGTAATCAATGATGGGTTGTCTCCAATCTTCCTTCGCAGCTTCAACAATGGCGACGATACGATCAAGCTTATTTTCAATATATTCTTCCTCATTTGACGGTGGTACTATCCATTTTTGACAGACAGTTACTTGCGTTTGATTAGGAAGGGTTAGCGTTGAAGCTAGAGTAGCCAATGCATCAGCTTTCTTATTCTCTGTTCGACGCACATGTTGAAGGGTTACATCCCCTAGCCATCTTATCAACTTTTGAGCATAATCATGATAAGGTCGCAATTCAAGCTTTTTTACCTCATAACTTCCTAAGAGTTGATTAATCACCAATTGAGAGTCACCAAAGACATGTAAATGTAACTGTTTCATGTCAACGACCATTTCAAGTCCAAGTATCAGTGCTTGATATTCAGCGACGTTATTGGAGCAACATTGTTTTAGAGTAAAAGAGAATGGTAGAATCTCTTCTTGTGAAGTGATGAACACCACGCCAGCACCAGCTCCGCCGCGATATGCAGCCCCGTCAAAGTACATTTTCCAAGGAGGTTGAACTTCAATTAACATCGCATCTTCATCAGGAAACTCATCAGTTAACTCCCAATCATTTGGTATAGGATGGTCTGCTAAGAAATCCGCTAGTGCTTGTCCCTTCACGAATTTTTGAGGGATGTACACAATCTCAAATTGTTGGAATTGGAGGTACCATCTTGCTAGTCGGTCACTAAGGACAGGTTTTGACATAACAAACTTGATGGGATTTGCTCTAGAAATAAGGCGGACAACATGAGCTTGAAAATAATGCTTCATCTTTTGAATTGAGAAGACCAGTGCCAAGCATAACTTTTCAATTGGCGAATAATTTAGCTCATTTGGCGTCATTGTTCTACTTAAGTAATAAAGAGCATTTTCTTTGCCTTCACTATTCTCTTGAGCTAACAGGGCCCCTACAGACCTTTCTTGTGCTGCAATGTAGAGTATCAATGGTTTTCCAGGTATAGGGGCTGCCAAAACCAGAGATTTCGCTAGATACGATTTGATACTTTTAAAGGCTTCGCTACATGTTTGGTCCCAATTAAAAGGAGCACCTTTCTTCATGAGATGACTGAATGGTTGACATCTCCCCGCTAGATTTGAGATGAACCTTCTCAAGTAGTCTAACTTTCCTTGGAGACTTTTTAACTCATGGATATCTCGAGGTTCAGGCATCTTTGATATTGCATCGATTTTGGCTTGATCAATTTCAATCCCTCGATGTCTCACAATAAAGCCAAGGAACTTGCCGGAAGTAACTCCGAAGGCACATTTCAATGGATTCATCCTTAATTGATATCTTCGGAGTAACTCAAACACCATCCTTAAGTCTTTCAAATGATCACCCCTTTTCCTGGACTTCACTACCAAATCATCAACGTAACATTCAACATTTTTATGGAGCAAGTCATCAAAGATATTTTGCATATCCCTTTGATATGTGGCGCCAG